TCTACAATAAATCAAAAATCAGCCGGGCATGGTAGCGCTCGCCTGTAGTTCTGGCTACTTGGAAGGCTGAGGAGGAAGGATTGCCGGAGCCCAGCGGGTCGAGCCTGTGGTGGCCGGGAGCAGCCACTGCACTCCAGTCTGGGCGACAGAGTGAGACTCCAACTCAAAAAAAAAAAAAAACAGAGAAAAGAAATAGTTTCTTGAATATGACACTAAAAACACAAGTAACAAAAGAAAAAAGTAGGTGAACTGGACTTAATCAAAATGTCAATCCTTTGTGCATCAAGGGACACTAGTAAGAGAGTGAAAAGACAGCCCAGAGAATATATTTGCAAATCACATATTTGGTAAGAGTTGTGATATTTATTATATATATTGAAGTAGGGTCCGAGCGATTAAAGAACAGCCCACCAACTCAGTTTTAACAAAGGAGAAGTTTATTACTCAAGGCTCTGCCAGCTGGTGACCGCTTGCAGGAAGAGGACTTCAAGCAAGTCGGCCCCGAGCCCCCGCTCAGAGCTTTCTTAAGTAGCCCTAGCTTACATCTTGGTTAGCTAAAGTTAGGGTTGGACATTTTCCAGAGCTCTTATCGCAATGTTCTGCTGACATCAGCAAGCTCACAGATGTGCTAATTAGGCAAGTATAGTGGGTAAGGATACAATTTATCTTGCAATGTTTACAGAGGAGAAACCTTCAAAGAAAACCTTCCAAGAAGGGAGTAACTTGCCTGTTTCAAGGCTGAAGCCATTCCTCTCATCCACCCCCTTACAATCCCAGAGGCAGAGACTGCTTCTTTTCCCTTTCACAATATATATGTTTTCATCCACAGTTCCTGGCTCTTAATTCCCTTAGCTCTTAGTGTTACAGTTTTTTGTTATAATGTTGAGGCACTTTTGGATTCAGAAGCAAATTTCTCTCTGGTCTTCTGCCCTGCTGTCTCTGTCCCTTCATTCTCCCTGGAAACTACCCATAGAAACTAGAATCCCTCTTCAAAGGCAGGTCATAGAAGCAGAACTCCCTTTCCCCCAAAGCAGCCATAAAACCCCAAAATGTGACTCTAACTGCACGCCCCTTCTGTATAAAAACTGGCCACAAAGCAACTATCTGACCTACATTGTTTGCTCGTAGGTCTTAAGACCCCCATTCTGGAGAGGGTCCCGCCCCACACCCTGGAGGAAGGAATGCTTCACAGAGAGGCCAGGAAGCATCTAGACAGACCAAGGTCTTGTTGGGCTTCCCTAGTCTGTCTCTTAGCATTAGATCACCCCTTTTTGTCCAGTCACATCTCTACATGGTTGCCCTTGCTTCAGTTGTGGACAGCCAATGACGTTTCCATAAAAGGTCCAAAGGACAGGGTTTGGGGAGCTTCTGGAAAGCTGAACACCTGGAGGCTGAGCAAGAACTCATCCACCTGCCAGGAGGGTGGCGTCCCAATTCCCCGGGGACAGAAGCTCCCGCGCCGGAGACCCTTCAGACCTTGCCTTGTGTATTCCTTCATCTGGCTGCTTATTTATGTCCTTCAAAATATCCTTCCTAATAAACCAGTAAATAGAAGCAAGTGTTTCCCCAAGTTCTGTGAACCCCTCTAGCAAATTAATCAAACCCAAAGAGGGGGCTGTGAGAACCCCAACTTAAAGCCGGTCGGAAGTTCCAGAGGCCTGGACTAGCTACAGGTAGCATGGAGGAGGCTTGTGGGACTGAGCCCTCAACCTGTGGGTTCTGATCTGATCTCCAGGTAAATTGCACTGGAATTGAGTTGAAGGACCCCT